GGGGCCTTGCCTCCTCTTGCTGCTGCAGGCAGCCGCCAAGCTCCTCCTTCTGCAGCTGCAGCTCCGCCTGCTCCGCCCGCAGGGCCTGCAGGGCCTCCATCAGCAGCCCTGTCTCCTCCTTCGCTCCCGAGAGGGCCCGGCGGGCCACCTCCAGCCGCTCCTGAAAGACAGCCGAGGGCACCCGGGTCACCCACCCAGCAGGACGATGACGGGGGCATGAAGGTGCTGGCCCGGGGCAGAGGGGAGCCGTGGGACTCCTGGGGACAGGCGTACCTGCAGCACCCGCCGCTCATGCTCGCTGGCCGCCAGCGCCTTCTGCAGCTCCAGCACCTTCTCCTGGGCTGCGCCACTGTTGGTCTTGCTCTCCAGCAGGGAGGCCGAGAGCGCCTGCACCTTCTCCTGGAGGGAGCGCTCGGTCTCCACAGCCTTGGCCAGCACCAGGTTAAGGCGGTCCAGGGACAGCTGCTGGGCACCCGCCCTCCTCTCCCCCTCGGCCACCTGTGGCGGGCAAGATGGGAGCGAGTGAGTGGGGGGGGACCCCCCACATGCGCAAGAGCGCCTCGGGCTCATGACAGCTCTCTGGCTAAGAGCTTGGCTTCCTGGGCCAGGCGTCTCCGCCTGCCACCATGGGATTCGTGTCTCCATCAAAAAATAACAATTTCCATTTTAAAAAAACCTGCTGCCAATTAAATTAGCAGGATCTTTCCAACTGATCAGCAGGTTGGAAGGCGTGTGGAGTGTGTGCGCTTTCTTAATGTGCTATCAGCCTGCCATAGGGTGTCACCTTTGAACTGCAATTAGCTCATCAGAGTCTAGGGACCGCCACGCATCCTTCCCTCTCCTGCTCGTGGGATTTCTGTCCTGGGGTGGCCGTGATGGCCCATTCATTCTGCCCTCGGCCACCAGGCACCTGAAAGGCCTGCTGGAGCACGGTCTGCTCAAGATCTGTTAAGGTCTTCTGCGTACAGAAGCGGCACAGAACCAGTCGCCTTCTGCAAGCGCCTCCTTCTGGAGAATCTCAGCCTTTACTGAACAAGGAGCGAAACCTCCCCCGCTTTCTAGCCCAGGCGGCTGCAGCAACAAGCGGCACAGGGGCTGAGACCACCCCAGAGCACCACGGGGCCTGCCTGTCACATGCCCTACACACCTCCCACCCCCCTGCAAGCAAGACTCCCCCAAGTCAGCAAAGAGCGAGCATCAGTCAGAACGGCCCCGGGTGCCCGCCACAAGTACCTCCCTCTGCAGAGCGTCGACACGGTCCCGCAGCCCCTGGAGCTCCACCTGGCGATCGGAGAGGCCCAGCCGGGATCTCTGTAGCTCCCCCTCCAGCGAGCGTCTCGACAGCTCCACTTGGGTGCAGCGACCCTCTGCAGCATCCAAGACGGCCTTCAGGCGCTGCTTGTCCGCCTCCAGCTTGGCCTCACCCGCTTTCATCTTGCCAAGCTTCTCCTGGGGTGGGGGTGGGGGGAGAGGCTGAGGGAGACCTTGGAAGGCTGCCGCTGCCTCCTCCTCCTCCTCCCTGGGCCAGAGGCTCAGGGGGCCCCTCAGGAAGGCAGCCACTCTCTGAGGATACCAACGTCTGATCCAGCTCAGAACCAAGGGCCGACTCCCCCCCACGTCACTCTGCCTTGGGTCACTTCACCCTTAAAATGACTGATCATTCTTTTGAACTAGGTGCCTTGCCTTTTAAACACATGTATATTCTTCTTTAAAATGCAAATCACAAGCAAGAACGGCAATTGCTACCTGCTGGAAAAACCCAAACCCTCCCTCATTAGGACTTTGGTATCAAAAATTGTGGGATCAATTCCTAATGAATTCAGTTACCAATAAATTGAACAGAACAGCTCCAAAACCTATAGAAAGACCTATAATGGAAAAATGGGATCCCATATTGGATTTCTTAGTAACAGAAGATTTTTTACCCCCATCTTGGTAGCAATTTCGGAAATGGATGTGAACCCTCTCTCGTCATAGATAAAGGAAACAGGTTGGATTTGTTGGACACATCATTCTTATAAAAATATAATATACCGATTCTTAATTACTTCTTATAGGATTAAAATCGTGAGAACAGCGTTCTATTTCAGAGATAACAGAGTGGACAGTTTATTCTTTTATTGTTGATGCAAATGATTGTACTTTTTCTGACTTTTGATGTTACATACCTTGATACAAGATTTATATTATTGATATTGTACTTACATTTTCTGTACCAATTCACAAAATAAAGAAAAAAGCTTATTAAAAAAAAATGCAAATCACAGAGCTAATTTCCAAGAAAAAACAAAAGAAGAGTCAAAGTTTCTCCCCGTCCCTGCCCAACCCCCAGGGGACACCGAGGCTGGTCCTAAAAGGCACAACCCCCTTTTCCGGCTGGGCAGCCCCACAGCCGCAAGCAGTGCCCCCCCTTCCCCCAGGATTCGGGGCGGACTCTACCCCAGAGTCAGGGTCACTGTCTCCAGTCAGTCAGGCGCCCCCACCCAGGGGGAGAGTCCCTCGAGGAGTGCAGGAGGCCAGAGGAGAAGAGACTCAAAGGGACGGTTGGCCTCTGGCATTTTTTCTCCAGATGGAGGAAATTTCACACACACACACACACACACACACACACACTCTCTCTCTCTAAAATAATTGCCAAATGGGGCTTTTGATTCCACAGGAATGAAAGGAGAGCTCTTTAGTCCTCAGCTCCTCTTGCCCCAGAGGCATGGGGGATACAAACACACGTGAAGCTGCCTTCTGCGGTATCAGACACACACACACACACAGACACCCCCCCGCCCAGCCCATCAAGGCTCTCCAGGGTCTCCGGCAGAAACAGATCTTTCCCATCCCTGCCTGGCCCTTTCAGCAGGAGATGCAGCTGGGGATTGAACCTGGGACCTCCTGCAGGCCAAGCAGAGGCTCTTCCACTGAGCCACGGCCCCTCTTGACAGCTCCCCAGGGTCTCAGGCGGAGGTCCTTCCCATCCCCTCCTGCCTGGCCCTTTCAGCTGGAGATGCAGCTGGGGATTGAACCTGGGACCTCCTGCAGGCCAAGCAGAGGCTCTGCCACTGAGCCATGGCCCCTTTCCCACACGCTCAGCGGCCCTCAGAAGGTTCAGAGGTGCTCCAGCACTTTGCGCGATCTAGCCATCTGAAGGCCCCCCTCCCCCCCCCCAAATGCCCACCCTGGACAAAAGCCTCTTCTCCGTGTGCCTGGGCGCAGCTGGCAGGATCCACGCCCAGGACACGCCCAGGACCCTAACCCAAGCAGGAGCTAATATCTCCCCCTCTCCTAGGCCTCCACTAACCCCCCACCCCACCGGCTCTCTGCCCCGCCTTTCTTTCTCCTCCCAGGAAGGACTTACAAAACTCAGGCCTCCCTCGGCAGCAGACGGTTCACCCTGAACCCCAGGGGGTGGGGGACTGTTGGATGTTAGAACACTTCTATTTGGTATTTACTGGGTTAATACTGTGTACTGAACCACATGTTTGTTTGTATCCTATCTGCTTAGAGAGCTAGAAAGCCCGCCAGTTTGAGATGTAGTTTGTTGTCCTGATTGGAAGATAGAGTACCTAGAATTAGCATTTTATGACTCTTTGTCCAGAGCAAGAAGAAGCTCTAGTCTCCATTAGCCTGAGGATGAGTTAAGATGTCTCCATTAGTCTTAGGAAGATCTAAGTAAGTTATCTAGATATGAGGATGTAGAAATAAAGCTCTTTGTTATTTTTCATCCTGTTTACCCTACCCTTGTTAGGTTGATAGTAAACTTTTATATTTTAAACTACCATGGACTCAAGACTCATTTTACTCTGCTAACTCTGCCTAATTAACTTTAAGAAAATTAAATACAAAAACTCCAATAGGTTATGTTGCCCAGATATGTTTTTCTGCAGAGTTTTTGAGCCATGTGTATTGAAGTTTAATTAAGGATAGAAAAGATTTTTTTTTGAAACATTTTCCTGGGAGAGAAGATTTTTTCCTTGCCATTTTCTTGAGTCTGCTAAGCCTTGTGCTTGCAGAACAGAAAGGGAACAGAGAAGTTTCATCTCCTGTTGTGATCTCCAAGACAAAAGGAATTCCCAGAGAGCTGAAATCAACAGCCACGAGAGAGAAAGAGTGGAAGATCACAAGCCCCGATCGATCCCAGACGACCGACGTTCGCCTTCTACAAAGGGAAGTTGGTAAAGTAAACAAAAATGGCGTCTTCGCACAGTTATAACATACCAAAATTATCTTCCAGTAATTATCGTTTCTGGAAAGAATGTTTGAAGTGTGTATTGGAAGCCACTTCTTCTAGCTATGTGTTAGAACAAAATCCGCCCACGAATAACGCTGACCAACTCAAAAAATTTAAAGAAAAGGATGGTCACGTGAAGGCTTTAATCCTTGGAAATGTTGTAGTGTGTGATAATCAACGGTTATTATCGTGCCAATCAGCAAAAGAGATGATTTCCCATCTAGACAAGAAGTATGCTGCAAAATCAAAGGCTAACAGCATCTTTCTTAATCAACAACTGTTTAATTGCAAAATGCAAAAGGGAGACACAATGAGTGTGCATTTGAGTAAGATGATTAATATCTTTGATGAACTTAAATCCATAAATGACCCGCCTTCTGAGAGCTCTGTTCTTGCCGCTATTTTAAACTCATTGCCTGATAATTATGAGGTTCAAGTGGCCCATTTACGTGGTATAGAAAATTTGACGATAGACCATACTATTTGTTACCTGGAGGCGGAGGGCCACCGCAGAGAACAATTGAATGTAACTGAAAGTGTTTCTGTGCTTAAGATCAGTGATTCTCGCCACAAAGGAAATGCAAAGAAGACTGTTAAGTGTTTTGTCTGTTCAAAACTTGGGCATCTTTCCCATCAGTGTTGGTTTAAAGACAAAGCAGATCAAAGGCATGAAACCATGCAGCCGGCCGCTAAAACCAGAAGCCCCAGAGGCCGTGGTAACGCGAGACCGAATCGCTCTCAGGAGCAAGCAAAAACCAAACCCGTATTTTACCTAAGACAGGCACAGCCAGAAAATGCAGAAAAGCGAGAAAAATGCGCGAATGTGCTAGCAGTAACTACTGATCATAGAGATGAATCTGATAAATCATTATGGATGTTAGATTCAGGATCTCATTGTCACATATCAAATAATGCTGAAGATTTTGTTAAATTGAATAAAGATAAAAGACCCAAACTACTTAAAGTGGATAATGAACCATTGCAAGTTGCTGGAACAGGAAAAATTGTTCTTAACGTTTTGAATTGTAGTGGCCAGGTTCAACAAATGACTTTGAATGATTGTGTTTTTGTGCCTGAAGCAAGTATTTGTCTGATTTCTACAAGGAGAATTATTACTGCTGGTTTTAAAATTAGTCTTGAACAGGAACAAGGCAAAATATGGCACAAAGATGGAATTGAACTAATGATAGAAGAACATGAGGGTTATCATTATGTAAGAAATCTTGCCATAGCTGAAAATGATGAATTGGACACCAATGGGCCTGTGTTCCACACAAAATCATCTGAATGTGATCACAAAGACTGTTTATATAAATGGCATGTGATGTTTGCTCATAGAAATTTGCAAAGTGTGAAAAAGCTTTTGAAGGACTGTAATATTGATGCTGTTGAATGCAATGCTGTTAGAAATGGTTGTGAAACCTGCTTTAAAGCAAAAGGCACAGCGCCTAGTTACAGAGGGAAAAATCCAGAACAAGATAAAGGTTTTCTAGAGACTGTGTACTCAGATCTTGTTGGTCCTATAAAACAATCTACTGGAGGTAGTAAATACTTTGTGACTTTTATGGAAGCAAAATCCAGATATGTCTATGCTTACCTACTCAAAAGTAAAGATCAAGTACTTGACAAATTTAAGTGCTATGTTGCTGCTGTTAAAAACAAATTTGGCAAAGCACCTGAAGTGTTATTCACTGATAATGGGACAGAGTATTGCAGCAGTGAGTTCCAAAGATTCATGGAACAGGAAGGAATTGAACATCAAACAACAATTGTTTATTCTCCCCAACAAAATGGCACAGCTGAACACTTAAACCGAACCATACAAGAAATGGCGCGTTCTATGCTAATACAATCTGGACTTTCAGAAAATATGTGGGGTGAAGCAGTCAATACAGCTGTTTACCTGTACAATAGAGTTCCATCTAAGACTACAAATAAAATTCCTTTTGAATTATGGCATAACAGGATGCCTGGACTTAAACACATTAGAGCATTTGGATCTAAAGCCTATGCCCACATTCCAAAAGAGAGAAGGGGCAAACTAGACCCAAGGGCAGAAACTGGTATCCTAGTGGGGTACGCTCTTGGAGGAAAAGGGTACAGAATTTATGATCCTACAAACTGTGTAATTAGAGAATGCAATGTGGTACATGTTGATGAGAGTAACATCCTACAAACTCCTAAGCCAGCTGAGTCCACAGCACAACCTGTCAATCAGGAATCCACAGATGTCTCCTTCTTCAACGTGTTTGCTTGGCAATCTGCAGAGACCACCTGTGACCAGGCAGGTCCATCTCCACAAGAGAATTCCACCTCAGAAGGGGAACAAGAGAGTTCCAGCTCAGAAGGGGAACCAGGAGAGGCAACGCCAAGGGTAAGAGAGACAACTGCTGTGAGACAATCAGCGAGG